ATTTTTTTAAGTGTCTAAATACTTGTGGCATACTATTCTCTCTACCTTGATGAATACTTTTGTGAGGTATTGTGACTTAATCATTTGTTTATATGGTGAGACTTTGTGATAGTGAATAAGACCATGATTGAAAGTCCAGAGAAATTATTCTTCTGTGTGCGGGTGACTTTAGCCACTAGGGAACAGACGTGGGGAGGTTAAGGTGACCCTAGTGCTCAACGGTTGAAGGAACAGTGCCTTGTACGTCCTGGTGACCTTCACCGGATTGTCTTAGGGAACAGACCCGAGAGAGGCTATGGTGACCCTAAGTATGATGTTGGATCCAACCTTGAGATATATTTTGTCATTTGGTTAAAAGTCCAGGGAAATTATTTCTCTGTGTGTGGGTGACCTTGGCCATTAGGGAACAAACCCGGGAGAGGCTGAGGTAACCATAGTGCTCAACGGTTGAAGGAACAGTTCCTGGTACGTCCTAGTGACCTTCACAGGATCGTCTTAGGGAATAGTTCCCGAGCAGTAACCCGTGGTGGCCCTAAGTACGGTGTGGGATCCAACCTTGAGATCTTTTGGCATTTGGTATGATTCCCAGATATCGTACAAGTCCTTACCAGTATGAGATGGTGATATAATTTGTTATTGTCACAACGTTTTTACTGGCTTTGTTTATGATTATCTATCGTATGCCATACGTATTTTCTTGTTATCAGTTATTGTATTTGGTATTTGGTTCCCATCGATTGTTGAATATCATACAGTCTCCACAATTATGATATGATTCACCATTATAGTATGATTTATTGTTGGAATCCGATTGTGTTATTCTTAAGAAATTGGTTATCTTGATGAAGTTATTTTTTCAAACCTTTGATTTACATGTCGTATGCCAAATATGTTTTTCAGCCACTTTGAATATGCATGCCCTTTCCATTCACTGACCTTTTTAGCTCATGCTTTCAAAATAATATTTTTTTTAGGTAAACGATTTGAGTGTCAATAGCGGACTTAGGGAATTGATTTGGAAGAAGAGTGTTGTGACCTCCGTAGCATATATCGTATAACCCTCTTTATTTGTTTGGATAATTTGGGCAAAACAGGTTTAGGTATGTTGACTTTAACATATCGACATGAGATTAATTTAGTGTTAATGTTATTTTTCACTCCTATATTATTAGTTTATTGTTAGGCTTATGTGTTTCATAGGTTATAGATTTATGGTTCATGGCCCGTCATGCCCTTGGAGTTGGGGTGTGACAATAACCATTACTGCCCACCACCATTACCACTGTTCACCCCCACTACAATTAGTACTTAAATTCTTTTATCTTTCCTATATGTTTCTGATTTAATTTTGGGTGTGAATATAAATGTGTTTATTATTGACTATTTTTTTATTATTTCGTGCCTCCAGACACGTGGAATAACTAGTATATGTATATAATAAAACATCTAATAATTTGAATTTTATCCTACTCATATTTTTCCCCCCAAAATCATCCCATCTAACCTAACCCAACCCAACGACTCCCTGCAACACACAAAACATTGTCCCCTCTCTCTTTCTCTTTCTCACTCTCTCTCTCAGAGCATCCTCTTTCACCCTTCCATCCCATCCTTTTTCACCCATCTTTTAATTTTTTTTCTTCTTTTCCACCACTCCTTTCTCTCTCTTACCGGCGTCTCTCTCTCTCTCTCTCTCTCTCTCTCTCTCACACACACACACACACATAGACAAACACACAGACACACACCCACACACACACCAATTCGGCGATATATCTAGTGCCACCGCCGCTACGCCATAGCTTGGTCTTCTCCCAGGTGCCCCTCTTCTCTTATTCTCTTTTTCTCTCTCTTTCTCTCTCACAGACACACACACAGATAACAACCCCCAGCCCCCAACTCTCCCTTCTACAAACCTCATCGTCACCCAAGTTCTCCTATTTCGGAGCAACCCACCCTTCTCTCTACCCTCTCCTCACTCAAGATAGCTGTTAATTGTTGTTAAAGTTGAGTTTTTAATTTGATGGGTCTAGATTTGAATTAGTTGAAGATTTTTGATTTGGATTGTTATTCGAATTGTGAATTTGAGTTGATTCGAACTCCAGGTGTTAGTAGTATTGTTTCAGTGAGGTGGATTTGTCTATTTATTTAATTTTTTACTAATTGCTCATCTCTTTAATTTTTATTTTTCTGTCCATATTTTTCAATTTCATTTTTCATATATCCACTCTATTTTCTGGTTTTAGTTTCCATTCTACTCCAAAGTAAGTTCTTGAGCTCATGAATACAAAAAATCTCACTCTGGCTCATGTCATGAGGCACTTACAGGAAGACATGCAAGGAGCATTTGTTTTAAAGTGTAATCTGATGTGGATGTAAAAAAAATATGATTACAAGAAAGGGGGATGGTCACTAGAGGAAGACATGCTCTTATGTGAGGTAAATTGATGCACACCACACGTTATTTGCAGCCTTCGCAAATCCTTCAAGATGTGCCTCCATATTGTGGGTTATCAGTAAGAAAAGTTGGTTTATCTTTCGCACTATCAATGAGTTAATTCATTTGGAACAATATTACACTCTCATTCTTCTAAGCATTGACATTTGAAGTTTCGGTAAAAACAGAATAACCTGTGAATAAGGCACACCTATGATATGTTATTTGTTTTGTCCTTTCAAAAATCACCAGACAATCCCCACTGATCAACAAGTATAATTATTTCCTCAATTCATTATTAGGTGATGTGATCTGATATATCAATCAAGAGAATCTGATATCGCAAAATAATATGCAAGCACAGAAAATGTTTGGCAACAGATGGATTGAAATAGCAAAGGTGGTTTCAAGCAGGTAGTTGAAGTTGTACCAGAGTTTCATTTATAATGTATTTTCGTTTTTATTAGCAAGAAGTTTGTGGTAATGTTGATTTATTCTCTTTGTTTCTCTCCTTATACAGAATAGATAATGCTATGAAAAATCGATTTTTGATGTGTAAGAAAAGAGCAAAGTACGAGGCCTTAACAAAAGAGAATAACACTTCATCTATCAACGTGAACAACAAAAGGGTGATATTCAATAATGGGCTCAATATAGATGGAATATCGGATACAGTACCGCTTTCTAAGGTGATCAAGTACAATTAATTTAGCGTGTTTCTAGTCCTCGAAATGTTGGCAGAAATAAGACTTAAGTGTTACACACTAACACAAATCATAATGTGGGTGACTTGCCAACTCAGCATCAAGTCATCAACAACAAGGAGGCCTTCAGTTATGGTGATTTATCTAAAGAAAACTTTTGGTCAAAAAATTGTTATGAGATCACTCATTAATGAACTAAAGATCACATCAGAAGAAAACACATGAGAATACTACATACTTAGCTAGTTTAGGGTCACACAACTTTTGTCTGCATTAAATATTGATCCTCCTTTATCAAACCATTACCATACTAATGTAATTTGTCCTTTTTGTATCCTTTTTATATCCAAAAAATAGATAGTAATGACAAGATTCAAGGATTTCTCAAGAACGATGATCCAAATATATTTGCATTGATGCAACTAGCAGAACTCCTCAGCTCGCTTGCACTCAAAGTAAATACAGAGAACACCGATAAGAGTCTTGAAAATGCTTGGAAGGTGATGAAAATTAGCAATGTGTTTGCTTGATTTCGACTATCAGCAAATATTCATATTCATTTGTGTTAAATTATAATTATTTGAGATATATTGATGAGTAGTAAAAATAGTGAGTGCAAATTAATTTCAAATTGTATAATTAAAGAGCAAAACAAAAAAAATGAATTGCTTTTGAATATTTAGATTAACCCAACTTAATCCAAGGGTCAAATTCATTTCCCCACAAAATTTCTTCCCATATTTGTGTTTTATCACTCAGCTGTTCCTTTCTCTCTATCCAATCTCATCTCTCTTTCTATCTTTTCTCTCTCATATTTGAGTTCAGTATTTGATTATTTCGTACCCAAATTCAGTGCTTGATCTTTTTTGAATTGCACCGTACCTTTAGATACGGGTTATCCCTAGTGTGTATATATATATATATATATGGACTTAAAATATTACCTTAATTACCTACCTGTTTGGACTTAACATTTTAAATATCAAGAATATTCAATGTATTGACATTTGTCAATCTGGATGCATTAAAAAAATCTCACGTAGTAGAATTTGAAGAAAGAAGAGTGATGATCAGCCACAATCATATTCTAAAAAAAGAAATAATTAACTAGAAGTTATCCAAACAAATTTTGGAGCAACATTGTTGAAAAGAAAAATAACTTAAAAAATTAATTTAATTAATCATAATTATTAAATTAATAATAAATCTCAACAAATATTAATATTTATAATTAAATTAATGATATTTGTTAGACTTCTCCCACTCAGCACAAAGAACCACGCGTTGCGTCGACTCTGATCCCTCGAATTGCTTTTTTGACTTTTGTGGTCAATTTCTTCTATTTTTGACGTTCTAGGAACATTGAAACTGCTTAATTGTTAAGCAACATACAAAACCAAGTCAGACTCAGCTGACTCAAGTGCAGTGTTTATTTTTGACCCACCTAATTTTGTATTTACATTGCTGCCCACAGTTATAAAGAAGTAACTAGAAGATTGAGAGAATTTGGATCGGTAATTTTATCAAAATTTATTCATTTCCTACTTAATCCCATTATAATCTTGCAGTTGAATTCGTATCGGATTCGATTCATATCATATATAAGTCATGTTTTGTTCATGTTATCTCATTTATTTAATTGATCTAGTAAATTTATTCCTTTACCATCCGAAACCATCAAAATTAAACTGAAAATCACAAATTTGATGGTTTGTAGAATTACTTTGTCTGATTATGACTGAAATGGGTGGATGCCAACTAACATATGATGCACCTAAGAACCATCCCTTATTTCTATAAAGGAATTCAAATACCAATAGCAGAGAGAGAGAGAAAACAACAGCGTGAAAAGCAAGCAGTGCTGGTGTCTCAAACAGCTCTAGAGTCTAAGTCTTTGTCCAAAGCTATATATAGAAGCCCATAATGGTCTTCCACTTCAACCAAAAATCGAAAATCTCATAACAGCCTAGCCTTGTTTTATAAGCCTAAGGACCAAAATGAGTGTGGAGGTATTGGATGGTGCCACCATTGTCAACTTTGTTGAAGATGAAGAAGCATTCAGTGGCTCGATTCGCGACCGCTTTGACAACCTTGACGCAGACCATGATGGCCTCCTCTCCTATTCAGAGATGTTGAAAGAGCTGCAGACTCTAAGGGTCTTTGAAACCCATTACGGCATAGATGTGAAGATGGATCCAGACGAGCTCAGTCGCATATACGATTCACTTTTCGTTCAATTTGATCACGACTCAAATGGAGCAGTTGATTTGGAGGAATTCAAGGCAGAGACCAAGCAGATGATGCTTGCCATGGCCACGGGGCTTGGATTCTTGCCCGTTCAGATGGTTCTTGAAGAGGACAGTTTTCTGAAGAAGGCAGTCGAAAGGGAGTCCACCAAACTTGCTGCATAAATTGTTTGCTTATGATTTAACGTTACAGCTTAAGAGTTTTTCTGCTTGTGTGTTACCAGTTTGAAGCCATTAATACCCAAAAAAACGAGATTGTTTTGTTCGCAAAATTAGTAAGGAATATGAAGTGAGATTTCTCCGATATATTTTCATTCATGATTAGTGATTTGTCCATAGAAGTTGTAGGAGAATTCTTTTAATTGTCAAAATTTCCAATACCCATTTTAAGTGCAAATGAGATATCTTGTGCCCCTTACAAGTTGAGTACAAATGAAAAAAACTAATACAATTTCACATTTGTGCCTTACATAATTAGCATCTTTCCCAAAAATTATTAACACATGCAGACAGACATTCAATACACAATCTTAAGTGTAGCTCAAGTATAACAGAGATGATGTGTAAATTCAGACATTATGAGTTTGAATCTTGATAATTTTTGGGAGTGAAATTAAAAATTACATCTATATGTGCATAGAGATGTATTACACATTCTTCAATAATTTTTTATGGTGCTCACTCAATAACTTGTATAGACCAATACCTAGATGTTTATGAACACATCACATAAACTCGTTGGCCAAGTCCGAATAAATTTTGTACCCATATTGAAGTGATTTTATAATTTTTTTAATATAATTATGTAATCCTTCATTGTACTATAAAATATTATAATGTTTCGGGAAAATCTAAAAAATCAGGGGCATGACATTGAATTAACAAAACATTGTCTTAAAAAAAAGCACACATAAAATTTCTCGTTTAATCTATATAATAAAGTATAACGATTGAAGAGATGAAAAATTATTTTTATTTTTTGCAATTAAGATCGATTTAAATTTTACTTTAAAATTGATCTGATAGCTAATATTAACTTCATAAATTTAGCAGAAAAAATAGACCTCATAAAAATATGTTTTGGTTGACTTTTCAAAATTACTTCTAAGACTTATGGTTTCTTATAAACACTTCAAAAAAAAGAAGTAATATTTGGAACAACTTATTTTAATTACTTTCAAATAAGTCAAAAATAGTTTTACCACCTAAATAAATAAATAAGTAAAAGTGAAAAAAAAAAATAACTCTACGTCTTTAAAATTATTTCTCTGTAAAACACTTCACCACCCCCACCCCCTCCCTAACCATCATCACCATTACTACTTGCCACCCCACCATCACCTCTGCCATAACCACCACCACCATTATTGCCACCACCTACTACAACCATCACCTTCGTCACACACTACTGATTACTACTACTGTCATCCATCGCCACCACCCATGACCATAATCACATTATTTTTATATTTATTATCACTACTTCCATTACCCTACTGGCGCCGTCATCCACCGTTCCAACCATCCACCACAATTGTTGTCCACTACCACCCATCAACATAGCCCATCATCATCACTATCTACTGTCAACCACCCCCACCACACCTACCATCACCAACTACCACCACTCGTCATCGCCCACCACTGTTGCCATTCAGTGTCATTCATTCACACCACACCTACCACCACCACTACCATTCACCACCACCCACCACCACTGTAGCCCACAAGCACCCATCGATACCCACCAGCGTCCTCACCCATCACCATCATCGCCCCACCATCACCGTCATCACCCATAGTTGGCACTGCCACCATCATCATCCAAAACTCACCACTACCACCATTGTTGTTCACTCTACTACCACCGCTCACCCTCCACTACAATCGGTGCCACCGATGGCTGCCACCATCACCATGGTCGATGTCACCCACCACAACCAATACCAACTCCCACCACTATCACTACTGTCCACCACTCCTACTGTTGTCCACCACTATTACTACAACTCACTCTCACTACAATCGATAGTCTCTCTCACAGACACACACGCAGATAAACAACTCCCTGCCCCCAGCTCTCCCTTCTACAAACCCCATCGTCACCCAAGTTCTCTTATTTCTGAGCAACCCACCCTCCTCTCTACCCCTCCTCACCCAAGATAGCTGTTAATTGTTGTTAAAGTTGAGGTTTTTAATTTGATGGGTCTGAATTTGAATTAGTTGAAGATTTTTGATTTGGATTGTTATTCGAATTGCGAATTTGAGTTGATTCGAACTTCAGGTGTTTGTAGTATTGTTTCAGTGAAGTGGATTTGTCTATTTATTTGATTTTTTTACTAATTTCTCATCTCTTTAATTTTTATTTTTCTGTCCATTTTTTTCAATTTTATTTTTCATATATCCAGTCTATTTTCTGGTTTTAGTTTCCATTCTACTCCAAAGTAAGTTCTTGAGCTCATGAATACAAAAAATCTCACTCTAGCTCATGTCAAGAGGCATTTACAGGGACATGCAAGGGGCATTTGTTTTAAAGTGTAATCTGATGTGGATGTAAAAAAAATATGATTACAAGAAAGGGGGTAAGGCACACCTATGATATGTTATTTGTTTTGTCCCTTCAAAAATCACCAGACAATCCCCACTGATCACCAAGTATAATTATTTCCTCAATTCATTATTAGGTGATGTGATCTGATATATGAATCAAGAGAATCTGATATTGCAAAATAATATGCAGACATAGAAAATGTTTGGCAACAGATGGATTGAAATAGCAAAGGTGGTTTCAGGAAGGTAGAAGTTGTACCAATGTTTTGTTTATAATGTATTTTTGTTTTTGTCAGCAAGAAGTTTGTGGTAATGATGATTTATTCTCTTTGTTTCTCTCCTTATACAAAATAGATAATGCTGTGAAAAATCAGTTTTCGACCTTGTGTAAGAAAAGAGCAAAGCATGAGGCCTTAGCAAAAGAGAATAACACTTCATCCATCAACCTGAACAACAAAAGGGTGATATTCAATAATGGGCGCAATATAGATTGAATATCGGATATAGTACCGCCTTATAAGAAGATCAGGTACAATTAATTTAGCGTGTTTCTAGTCTCCGAAATGTTGGCAGCAATAAGACTTAAGTGTTACACACTAACACAAATTGTTAGGGTCTAGGAGCACTATTAGCTCTGATCTCATGGAAAATTGCGAACATAGAGAAATGTTGCACAAGGAATGTGGAACAACAAATTAGCAGCTAAGACCTCCATTTGCAGTACTAGTTCAAAACATCCACATTGTGGGTGACTTGCCAACTCAGCATCAAGTCATCAACAACAAGGAGGACTTCAGTTATGGTGAGTTATCTAAAGAGAACTTTTAGTCAAAAAATTGTTATGAGAACACTCATTCATGAAATGAAGATCACATTAGAAGAAAACACATGAGAATACTACATACTTAGCCAGTTTAGGATCGCACAACTTTTGTTTGCATTAAATATTGATCCTCCTTTATCAAACCATTACCATGCTAATGTAATTTGTCCTTTTTGTATCCTTTTTATATCCAAAAAGTACATAGTAATGACAAGATTCAAAGATTCGTCAAGAACGATGATCCAAACATATTTGCATTGATGCAACAAGCACAACTCCTTAGCTCGCTTGCACTCAAAGTAAATACAGAGAACACCGATCAGAGTCTTGAAAATACTTGGAAGGTGATGAAAATTAGCAATGTGTTTGCTTGATTTCGACTATTAGCTAATATTCATATTCATTTGTGTTAAACTATAATTATTCAAGATATATTGATGAGTAATAAAAATAGTGAGTGTAGATTAATTTCAAATTGTATAATTAAAGAGCAAAACAAAAAAATGAATTTCTTTTGAATAATTAGATTAACCCAACTTAATCTAAGGGTCAAATTCATTTCCCCACAAAATTTCTTCCCCTATTTGTGTCTTAGCACCTTGTCGTTCCTTTCTCTCTATCCAGTCCCATCTCTCTTTCTATCTTTTCTCTCTCACGTCTGAGTTCAATGCTTGATTATTTCGTACCCAAATTCAGTGTTCGATGTTTTTTGAATTGCACCGTGTCTTCAGACACGGGTTATCCTTAGTGTGTGTGTGTATATATATATATTTGCACTTAAAATATTACCTTAATTACCTACCTATTTGGACTTAACATATTAAATATCAAGAATATTCAATGTATTGACATTGGTCAATCTGAATGCATTAAAAAGATCACACGTGGTAGAATTTGAAGAAAGGAGAGTGGGGATCAGCCACAATCATATTTAAAAAAAATGAAATAACTACCTAGAAATTATCGGAACAAATTTTGGAGCAACATTGTTGAAAAAAAATAAATTTAATTAATCATTATTATTAAATTAATAATAAATTTCAACAAATATTAAAATTTATAATTAAATTAATGACATTTATCAGACTTCTTCCACTCAGCACACAGAACCACGCGTTGCGTCGACTCTGATCCCTCGAATTGCTTTTTTGACTTTTGTGGTCAATTTCTTCTATTTTTGACGTTCTAGGAACATTGAAACTGCTTAATTGTTAAGCAACATACAAAACCAAGTCAGACTCAGCTGACTCAAGTGCACTGTTTATTTTTGACCCACCTAATTTTGTATTTACATTGCTGCCCACAGTTATAAAGAAGTAACTAGAAGATTGAGAGAATTTGGATCGGTAATTTTATCANTCCTAATTTTGTATTTACATTGTAGCCCACAGTTATAAAGAAGAAACTATAAGCCGTGTTCAACTATTTTATGTCGTGTTTTGTATATGTTATCTTATTTATTTAATTAATCTGGTGGATTTATTCATTTATTCTTCAAAAGAGTCAAGACTAAGCTGAAAGTGACAAATTCGATGGTTTGTAAAATTACTTGTCTGATTATGACTGGAATGGTTGGATGCGAACTAACATATGATGCACCTAAGAACCATCCCTTATTTCTATAGAGGAATTCAAATACCCATAGCAGAGAGAGAGAAAACAACAGCGTGAAAAGCAAGCAGTGCTGGTTTCTCAAACAGCTCTAGAGTCTAAGTCTTTGTCCAAAACTATATATAGAAGCCCATGATGGTCTTCCACTTCATCCAAAAATCGAAAATCTCATAACAGCCTAGCCTTGTTTTATAAGCCTAAGGACCAAAATGAGTGTGGAGGTATTGGATGGTGCCACCATTGTCAACTTTGTTGAAGATGAAGAAGCATTCAGTGGCTCGATTCGCGACCGCTTTGACAACCTTGACGCAGACCATGATGGCCTCCTCTCCTATTCAGAGATGTTGAAAGAGCTGCAGACTCTAAGGGTCTTTGAAACCCATTACGGCATAGATGTGAAGATGGATCCAGACGAGCTCAGTCGCATATACGATTCACTTTTCGTTCAATTTGATCACGACTCAAATGGAGCAGTTGATTTGGAGGAATTCAAGGCAGAGACCAAGCAGATGATGCTTGCCATGGCCACCGGCCTCGGATTCTTGCCCGTTCAAATGGTTCTTGAAAAGGACAGTTTTCTGAAGAAGGCAGTGGAGAGGGAGTCCACCAAACTTGCTGCATAAATTGTTTGCTTTATGGTTTAACGTTACAGCTTTAGATTTTTTCTGCTTGTGTGTTACCCGTCTGAAGCCATTAATACCCAAAAAAAAAAGATTGTTTTGTTCACAAAATTAGTAAGGAATATGAAGTGAGATTTCTTCGATATATTTTCATTCATGATTAATGATTTGTCAAGGAGAGAAATGGTGGTAAATAGTATTGAGAAGGTCTCGATCAGTTGAAAATATAACCATAGAAGTTGTAGGAGAATTCTTTTAATTGTCAACATTTCCAATACCCATTTTAAGTGCAAATGAGATATCTTGTACCCCTTACAAATTAAGTACAAATGAAAAAAGAAAATATAACCATAGAAGTTGTAGGAGAATTCTTCTAATTGTCTACAGTTCCAATACCCATTTTAAGTGCAAATGAGATATCTTGTACCCCTTACAAATTAAGTACAAATGAAAAAATCTAATACAACACATTTGTGTCTTCCATAATTACTATCTTTCCCAAAAGTTATTCACATATACAGACAGACATTTAACACACAATCTTAAGTATAGCTCAAGTATAACAGAGATGAAGTGTAAATTTAGACGTTATAAGTTTGAATCTTGATAATTTTTTGGGATTAAGTTAAAAATTACATCTAGATATGCATAGAAATGTATTACACATTTTTCAATAATTTTTTATGGTGCTCACTCTAAGTATAGACCAATACCTAGATGTTTATGAACACATCACATAAACTCTTTGGACAAGTCCGAATAAATTTTGGACGCATATTGAAGTTATTTTATAATTTTTTTAATATAATTATGTAATCCATCATTGTACTATAAAATATTATAATGTTTCGAAAAAATCTGAAAAATCAGGGGCATGACATTAAATTATTGTCTTAAAAAAAAGCACACATAAAATTTCTCCTCTAATTTATATAATAAAGTACAACGATTGAAGAGATGAAAAATAATTTTTATTTTTTACAGTTAAGATCGATTTAAATTTTACTTTAAAGTTGATCTGATAACTAATATTAACTTCACAAATTTAGTAGAAAAAATTAACCTCATAAAAGTGTGTTTTGGGTAACTTTCAAATAAGTCAAAAATAGTTTTACCACTTAAGTACATAAATAAGTAAAAGTGAAAAAAAAAAACACTACGTCTTTAAAATTATTTCTCTACAAAACACTTCACCACTACAACCGTCATCGTCATTCCATTATCATCATCCCTACCCCCATTGCCCCACCATTGTCACCACCATCACCACCACTATTGTCGTCACCCCATTGCCATCACCACCCCCACCCCTTCCCCAACCATCATCACCATTACTATCACTATTGCCACCCCACCATCACCTCTGCCATAACTACCACCACCATTATTGCCACCACCCACTACAATCATCACCGTCGTCACACACCACCAATTCCTGCTACCATCGTCCACTGTCACCATCTATGACTATAATCACCTCATTTTTATATTTATTATCACTACTTCCATTATCCTACTACCACCGTCATCCACCGCTACAATCATCCACCACAAGCGTTGCCCACTACCACCCACCACGACAACTGATCATCGTCACTATCCACCATAGTTTTAAAACCCGGCCGGACTATCAACACGGGAAAGGGACTAGGTTAATGGATTACTGGTTCAACCGGTAAGTCACTGGTCTAACCGGTAATATAATAAAATAATAAAAAATAATTATTAATATTAATAAATAAGTTAATAATTATAAAAATAGTATTTATAATGTATATTAGACCAAATAAAAACCCAAAATAAAATCACCATCTAGAGAGTTGAGAGAGAATAACAAATAAAAAATGTCCAAAAATATTAATATTCCAGAAATAAATCATTTGAAAAAAAATTTTCTCCATACCTATACATAGCAAAATTGCTCATAAACACCACAATTGATCACATCAAATATAATTAACATTTATAAACAAACATACTCACATCATAATACAAAATATCTAAACCCAAAGATGTTATAGAACTACATATATGCTGTGTCAAAAATAAGGCATATCCATCAATGAAACAGAAAATAACAAAACTCTAAGCATCAAGAAGAGAAACGGAGGAACCAAAAAAAAAAATTGAAAACATATCGTTATTATAACAACATCAACTTAGAATCAGTCAAAAACATACATTATATTTCATGAATTGACAGAACAACAAGAAGGTAGAAGTCGTTGTTGCCTGCTGGGGGTGGACTGGGTCGCTGGAGTTGCTGTTGCCTGCTGGGTGTGGAGACTGGAGTCTGGACTGTACATTGGAGTCACTGGTGAGAGGCAGCCGTTGATTAGCATAAAATCATGACATATATTGTGCGCTAATATGCCTCTGATGCTTGCTTTTGTCATGAAATTAGGGAGAATTGGGTTTAACTTGCGTTTTGATGGAATCTTGTGTGAATGTAGGTAAAACGATGTAAATGACATGAGTTAAACCCCCATTGAAGTGGGTGAGGTCAATGATGAGGAAGGGGTAGCTTAAAGGAAGGTTTGGAGGGATAAGAGACCAAGAAAAACCAAGAAAATTCAAGTTGGTTGAAAATCTTCCGGAAGGTTTTGTCCATTGGAGTGAAACCTTCCGGAAGGTTTTGTCCACTAGAGTGAAACCTTCCAGAAGGTTTTGTCTATTGGAATGAACCTTCCGAAAGGTTTTGCCTGCTAACCCCTTCATTTAATTGTTCATACACAAACCTTCCGAAAGGTTTTTGCTAGATTTCCTAGACAGCCTGTAACTCAACTCTATAGCTTGGAGGTCCCACTTACACTACTCCATCAAGTCTCCTGACATTCCTTACACGTCCAGGAGGCCTCCCTCACCCCTACTTGGTCTTGATGATGCTTGTGCATTAATGAGGAGAAGAGAGAAGAAGCTCGATAGAGAGAAGAGTGGAGGTTGGTCCTAATCTGCACCATGTAGCCCCTATGAGGGGGAGCACATTTGGCACGTTTTTGGAAGTAAAGACTCCATTTTTTGTTCAGCACTTCATACATTACACAGAGGAGATAGAGATGGAGAGTCTGGAGAAGATGATGAATAGTGTTCTAGAGAGATAAATCGAGATTTTTACATTTTCTTCAATACATTGTCTTGTAATCTCCTGGAAGAATATTTAGAGCTTCATTTAATGTCATTAATGCTAGTTCCTACAAGTTCATTGCAAGTTTAATTCTCTTTTAAAGCTTTCATCATTAATGCATTTATGTTCTTCATTTTTCCTAGTTGTAAAATGGGTATTCATTGTTTTCACTTATAGCTTATGTTTGCTTGCATTTAGTTACTCAAGAACTTCATTCCTTTGCAATGCATTCTCATTTCATTGTTAATTTCATCCCAAGCATGAGGAGTTAAATCCTTTAGTTGGCGAAACCAAGGGGAACCTCCACTTGGGGATGTCATTTCAACTCATTCTCCTCCCTTTTTTTAGAGTTCAATGGTTCGGTTTGACTGGATTGAGGGTGGATAAGTTGGTGAGTCTTTGACATTCTGTAGGCCTAGTCACGGTTTATGCTTAGATACTCACATATCTTATCCTTAACTTCCCACGAATCAATCGTACATTTATACTCTATCGAATGAGGGATTCGAGTTGAGATGGTATCCCTATTGGAATGACCTTTTGGATTAACCAACGTTTGTTTCTCATTTCATTTTCACCAAAACACATTTTACCAAACAACTTTCAACAACAAAAGATTTTATACTTTCTTTCACCCAGAATCACATTCCTTTTGGTTCACACCCTTCCTTGTGGAAACGACCTTGGAGTACCTCCAAGTAAAACACGATCCACAAAAATCTTCTTGCACTTGGGAAGCATTTTTGTTCATACACGTAACACATTTCCACCATCCCATTTTTTCATCTCCTTGCCCTTTCTTTTGACACTACTTAAAGGGAGAGTGACACTTCCCTCCATCCATATACAATACGTTTTGAGGGATGATATTAAGGGGTTTGGGATAACAAGGAAAATAGTCAAGCAACCGTTGATCTGGTGTGGTTCTTCTGAGCGATTTAGGGCAAAACAAAAGGAAAAAAACACAAAATGTCCAAAAAATCTGATATTTATACAAATTTAACTAAACCGTTTGGTTCGCACAAGTCCACCGATTTTTTACCGGTTCAGCAGTTTAATTCCGATTTTCATACACAAACAATCTTTTGCTCGATCCAGCCCGGTTTGAGCACCGGTTCACTAGGTCAACCTCCCAGATCGGGCCGGGTTTTAAAACACTATTATTCACTGTCAACCACCCCCACCACACCTATCACCACCAACTACCACCACCACTACCATTCACCACTACACACCACCACTGTAGCCCACAAGCACCAATCGGTGCCCATCACCACTCACAACCACCACCATCATCGTCATCGCCCATCACCATCATCGCCCCATCATCACCGTTATCACCCATAGTTGGCACTGCCACCATCGCCATCCAAAACTCACCATTACCACCATTGTTGTCCACCTCCACTACCACCGCTCACCCCTCACTACAATCGGTGCCACCGACGATTGCCACCACCACCATGGTCGGCATCACCCACCACAACCATTACCATCTCCCACCATTCCCACTGTTGTCCACCACTATTACTACAACTCACTCCCACTATAATCGGTACTCAAATTCCATTCTTTCTCTTTTTATTTTGTGATTTGATTTTAGATATAAATACAAATATGTTTATGAATGACAATTTTTATTATTATTCCGTACCTTCTGGCATCGGTAATAACTAGTATAATTATATATTATCATCGTAAAAAATTGAGGAAAATGACCAAGAGATTTAGAAAAAAAACCAACACAAAAAAAAGTTACAAAAGACGTGGAATATTATCTAAAAGAAAGTTGTGGAGTCGATCATGACTCGGTTGATTAGTATCTTTGTCGACCTATATTTTGAATTATAGTCGCATAGATTCTTACCAACAATTTCTC